CCTGAAGGTGTGCAGCCCAGGTCATGGGAGACGATTCCACGGAGACAAAGAGGAATATTAAGCAGCTGAAGGGAAGGGAGGTCAAGACCTCCCCGGGCTTTCAGAAGGTTCCAAGCACGTGTGGAGCAGTGTTGGAGGGGCCTGGCTCCTTTTTCTCTTTCTCTTCAACGCCCCTCAACACCTTGACAGTGTAGAGCTTTATCTGAACCCCATACTTCTGGAGAGTAGCTACAGTCAAGGAATCACCCCCACCCTCTTGTGACTCCCCAACCCCCCATTTTGAATTCTAGGAAATGGCTGACTTTAAAAGAATATTCCAAGATAAGGTCCCGTCCACCTTGCTTCGATGACCCAGATAAGACTTTGTTGGTCACCTCCTTACCAGGCCGCCTTCCTTTTCTTTAATACGTTCCTCGTTAATGAGCTCATTCCCTATTGCAAGAATCTGAACAGTCATTGAATTTATTGTCCTGAACATTTTGTCTTTCACACACTCTCCTTTATTCATCATGATGAACTTTACAATGAGAGAGCTGCTGGGATAATCTATCAAAAACCCAGCTGACAGTATAAATGCACTAAAGCCTCTGAAATGTAAACTTAAAATGGTGAAATGGGCCCTGGCTGGGTGGCTCAGTTGGTTGGAATGTTGTTCAGTACACCAAATGCCGGTTCGATTCCTGAACAGGGCACACACCTAAGTTTTGGGTGCGGCAACTGATCTCTGTCTCTCTCTGTCTCTGCCTTCCTCTCTCTCTCTCTAAAAGCAGTGGAAATGTATCCATGAGTGAAGACTGGGGGAAGTGGGGAAGTTAAAATGGAAATTTTAAATAATGTATATTTTACCACAATAAAGATTTCAGCTGACATAGAAATACAATGAAAATAATTTTATCCAAAACAATTAGAACCCTTTCCATGTGCTGGGTAATGGGTTAGACAGAGGGGGAAGTGGGCAGGGCCTGGAACGAGTAAGACCTGCTTCCTGTGGTCCAGAAGTTCCCATCCTTGCCCGGGAGACAAACATAACTGAGCTACATTACCCAGGGTGACACATTGTAATAGACACGTGGACAGCCTGGTTTGAGCCAGGTTGTGATTCAAGGGCCTTGAATACGACACTAAGGAGTTTGGATTTTATTCTATGATAATTGGGAGCCAGGAGTGGTTTTAAAGTGAGGGTGTGACAGGGAATAGATTCTCTGCAATTCCTCATGTTTTATCACCAGGCATCTGGTGTGTGTAAAAGATCAATGACAGCAACAGCTTTCATTTTAAAAAGTTGACCCCCTGTAAAACAGGCTTGCATTCAAAGTTTCTCTTATTAAATATATTTATGCTTAGAGAAAAAAAGTTAACTTTGGTTAAATCTATTGCAAAAATAGAAACATATATTTGGCAAAGTACTTGGGGCATGTTGACTGCTCAGAATGGAGTATGCGCCTACCTGAGGGAGCCAAGGAAGGCTCCAGGAGGAATGGGCTGGGGAAAAAGAGAAAGAAGAGAGGAAGCTGGAGCAGATAAATGAAGGGAGGGAGCTGAGGGCAATAAGGCCGGAGGAGGGCCAGAGCCAATGGCAGAGGGCTTTGTGGAGGGCCTGATTTTTTCCCTACATGATGGTTACCCTAAGAGAACTCTGTTAATAACGATGATGATGATGATATAGTACTTACTACGTGCCAGGCACTACTCTAAGAGCTCTACCAGTTTTGTCTTATTTAACATCGACACTGAGGAAGTGGCCTGGTGGATTGCTTAGGTCAGTTGGGTGAGCACATGGATGATGGTGGCTAGAACAACACTAGGGAAACATTTTGAGGTTCCTGACAAATTAGAGGATGGACAGAATAGGAATAAAGTCATCAAGGCCCGATTAATTATTGGTTGCATGGTGGAATCGGTGAATAAAGAAGAAACTGGGATGACTGTCATTTTTTTGGATTTGGGAACTGAGTGTATTATTGCGTTTACCCAGGTAAAGCATTGGTTACTCCGTTCCATTTCTTAGAGGACTTGCTTAAGTTCTCTTGTGCCTCCTACTCCCTCCTGGGTTATATAAAAACTGGAGGTCCAAGGCACAAAATTCATACTATGGCAAGAGTAGATCTTCCTTTCCCCGGCTGCCCGCACCTGCTTCCTTCCAGCACCCGGACCTGGGCTTCCCTCATAGCCCTGGCTTCTCTGGAAGGTCCTCAGGAAGGATGTCCAGTCTAATTAGCATATTATACTTTTATTATTATAGATTAGTTGTTCAATTTCCAAATACTTAAAGATTTCTCCGAAATATTCTGTTATTGATTTCTAATCAAATTCTGCCATGTACTTTCAATTCTTTAAAATTGTGAAGGTTTTTGTAGAGTTTTGCTGTTTTGACCCACACTATCTTGGCAAATGTTTCTTTTGCACTTTAAGAGTCTGTCTTCTGCTATTGTTGTGTGTGGTTCCTATTAATGTCATCAGGTCAAGTTGTTCTATAGTGATGTTCAAGTCTTTTATAAATTCGCTAATTTTCCTTACAATTTTCCCTCTACTTCAACTGTTTATTTGTCTATTTCTCTATATCATCCTGATTGATGGTTAGTTCTGCACAGAGGAGAGGGTACTATGGCACAGAAGTTAGAAGGTCTGTGTGCAACAGAAAGAAGCATCTTATTTTTTTTTTTTTTTTTTTTTTTTTTTTTTTTTTTTTTTTTTTTTCCTTCCTTAATTTTTATTGTTCATATTAATACAAATGTCCCTTCCCACCCCACCCTCTGCCCTTTCCCCACCCCCCATTGTCCTCATCCATAGGTGCACAGTTTATGTTCAGTCTCTTCCCACATCCCCTTCTCCCCTTTTCCCCAAGAATCATCAGTTCACTCCCCTTCCATACCTCTGATTCTATTATATTCAACAGTTAATATTGTTCATCAGATTTTTTTTTAATTTCCTTGGTTTTTAGATTCACTTGTTGATAGTTACGTATTTGTTGTTCATAATTTTTATCTTTATTTACTTTCTCTTCTGAAAGAACCCCCTTCAGCAATTCATATAATTCTGGTTTGGTGGTGATGAACTCCTTTAGCTTTTTTTTATTAGTGAAGCTCTTTATCTGACCTTCGAATTTGAGTGATAGCTTTGCTGGATAGATTATCTTTGGCTGTAGGTTCTTACTATTCATCACCTTGAATATTTCTTGCCATTCCCGTCTGGCCTGCATGGTTTCTGTTGAGAAGTCAGCTGACAATCGTATAGGTGCTCCTTTATAGGTAACTATCTGCCTAGCTCTTGCTGCTTTTAATATTTTCTCTTTGTCTTTTGCTCTTGGAATCTTAATTATGATTTGTCTTGGTGTGGACCTCTTTGGATTCCTTTTATTTGGAGTTCTGTGTGCTTCCTGGACTTGTAAGTCCAATTCTTTCCCCAGGTGGGGGAAGTTTTCTGTCACTATTTCTTTCAATATGTTTTCGATATCTTGCTCTCTCTCATCTTCTGGGACCCCCATAATTCTGATGTTGGATCGTTTGAAGTTGTCCCAGAGGTTTCTTACATCATCTTCAATTTTCTGGATTCTCTTGCCTTCTAGCGACTGCAGAGGAGTATCTTCTGGCTCTTTATGTTCCAAATCTTTGACTTGATTCTCAATTTTCTGGATTCTCTTGCCTTCTAGCTTCTGCGGAGGAGTATCTTCTGGCTCTTTATGTTCCAAATCTTTGACTTGATTCTTGCGATCTTCTATTCTGTTTTTAGGACTCTGTATAATAGTTTTTATTTCAGACAATGTATTCTTTATTTCTTGTTGATCCCTTTTCATATCCTCATAAGTCTCATTTATTTTATCGGCCTTTTCTAGGAAACTCTTGAAAAACCTTATAAGTGTGGTTTTGAACTCTATATCCAGTCGCTTTTTGTCCTCCATTTCTTTCGTTTGTGATCTATTTGGTTTAGGCATTTTCGCAGGCAGCTTTCCTGATGGGGCGGGGTTTCAGGGTGGAGCCTACAGCTTTGGCTTCCGTCAGCCCCGCCCTATGCGACTCCTGAGACTCAGGGTCCTTCAGTACTTGTTGTAAGCGCCTCTGAGAGAAAGGGGCCCTCGATTTTCGCCTGCTACCAAACAGTCTAGTCTCTCCCCCAATGGTCCCGAAACTGGGGTTCAGTTCAGTTGGAAGTGGAGTTGGAGGTGGCGTTCAGGGCAGACTGGAACCCCTGTCTCCTTCCCGCCAGGCAATCCCGCGGCACAGCCAACCGTCCCTTCTCTGCGCAGCGCCGCCGGGACCTCCTTTCGCCTCTTCCCCGGGTTCCGCCTTTCAGCCCGGCTCCCTCTGTGTGAGCCTGGGTCCCCGGGGTCTGGCCTAGGCCTGGGGTTCAGAGCAGTCAGAATGGGGGCCAGCACAGTCGGAGCGTTTATCTCCTTCCCGCCAGGGAACGCCCGCCAGGCACTCCGCCTCCCTCCTCTCCAGCTCCGTCCTCTCCGCTCGCCACTTGTCTCCGTACCTTAGGCTTTTCCAGCTCCTCCGCGCTTCCTTCTGGTTTTCTCCTTGCTTCTCGTTGTAGAATTTCCAGTCAGTCAACTTTCCTGTAGTTCTGGGTGATGTTCATTTTATATTTTAGTTGTATTTTGTTGAAATTGTTGTGTGCGGCGCGGCTAGGTGCCTACCCGAGCAGCCATCTTGGATTCTCTCAAAGAAGCATCTTATATCTTTAAATCTACTTCAGATCACCAAAGAAACATTTTATCTTTTTAAATTTTCTTTAGCTTGCAGAGAAAAATGGAAATTACTACCAATCCCAGCAGGCCTAGCGGAACTCAGGATAAATGCAAATAAGAGAGTCCAGGCACTTGACCACGCCCCCTTCCTGGGTTGGCAAGGCAACGGATACCAAGCCAGCCAATCAGTGAGATGCTCACCTGCGGGGGCGGAGAATCTATGAGAGCCAATGGGACGCGGGGCAGGTAGTTCTGTGGGCCAATGGCTTGTGAGATGGGGCGGGCTTTTAGTGAAGGGATAGTGGTGAGAAAGATGGCGGCGACTCTGGGCCCCTCTGGGTGGTGGTGGCGGCGGTGCCGGTGGCGGTGGCGTCTGTCTGCTTGGGATGGGTCCAGGGTGTTGCTCCTTCTCCTTTTGTTGGGGTCTGGGCAGTCGTTCGAGTACTTGAAGCGGGAACACTCGCTGTCGAAGCCCTACCAGGGTGAGGCGCCCGGGACGCGGTGGTCGTGCATGGGGAGGGCTTCGGGACCTGAGAGCCTCGGTAGAGGCGGGCGGCGACGGGCTTCGTGGCCCGGCCCCTGCCGGCGATGGCCAGGGGCCCACGGGGACTCCCGCGGAGTTTGGGAGCTCCGGGTCCGAAGGGCAGGGGTCAGCCGTCCTCCCGCGCCCGGCGCCGCACTCGCGCCTGAGGTCCCAGCGGGTCCTCCCTGGTCCGGGGCTCGGCCTGAACGGAAGGGAGGGGAGAGAGCTGCGAATGGGGCGAGTGATGGAGGGCCACTAGCCAGGAGCCAGCCTCCGGATGGAGTTTTGGAGGCACCAGAAGTAAAGAAGGAGGCAGAGCTGGGGCAGAACTTGGCCCAGCGGAGGAAGAAGACAGAAAACACTTGTTCTTCTCCAGTTCGGGAGTCCTGTTGATGGAAGGGGCTGGCAGCTCTGCTCTGTTGGGATTCATAGATTCGTAGGCGCAGCTCATCAGTCAGAACATTTATGTAGGCTCCAAAGAGGACCAAGTCAGTGCAGTTGGCTTAACTACAAGCCTGTTTCCCCACCTCAGTGTAGGTAGGGGGACAGCAAACAAGCAAACAGACTCCCAGTGGGAGAGCACACTCACCACTGCGAAGGGTGATTATTTGTTCACTTAGCAGATGCACGGTGTGTGTGTGTGTGTGTGTGTGTGTGTGTGTGTGTGTGTGTCCCTGCTAATGCTGTGGGTTATAGACACAGCTCTCACTCTCAGCTATAGTCTGATGTATCTGCGAAAGCCATGCTTGGATTGTTTAAAGAATGTGATTAAGCCCCAGAAGCCTGAGGATCAAGCTCTTTTTGGTTTACTCACAATTAAAAAGGGAAGAATAGATCTGAGCTATGGTTATCCGGGCATAGATAGAGTGTTGGATAAAGGGATAGCTCTGACGTGCTTTGGGGTCTTCACTTAAGAAGGGCTTTGTGAAAAGAAGCTGTAGAGATGGTAAGGATTTAAAATTTATGAGCGCTAGGTGGGAAATTGACATGAAAGGAGGGAAAGAGATGACTGCAGCTTTTGGTGGCTTTCTGAACGGGTTGGTGGTGAAGAGTACGAACAGATCTACTTTCTCCCTGTAGGTGTGGGCACTAGCAGTTCCTCATTGTGGAATCTGATGGGCAACGCCATGGTGATGACGCAATATGTCCGCCTTACTCCAGATATGCAGAGTAAACAGGGTGCTCTCTGGAACCGGGTGGTAAGAATATTCCTCCCTTCTGTGTTGGTGACCCAAAAAGTCCGCCAGAGGAATATTGGCTTAGTTTTACTGTCTGTATTCTGTGGTTATTAAAGGTTTTTATTTCAAAGGTTATGATGCCCTTCATAATGAAATCAGATATTTAGAGAAATGCTCTCTATTGCCCTAATTATAGCAAACAGTTCATTTAAAAAAATATATTTTATTGATTTTTTACAGAGAGGGATAGAGAGTTAGAAACATCAATGAGAGAGAAACATCGATCAGCTGCCTCCTGCACACCCTTTACTGGGGATGTTCCCACAACCAAGGTACATGCTCTTGACCAGAATTGAACCTGGGACCCTTCAGACTGCAGGCTGACGCTCTATCCATTGAGCCAAACCGGTTTCGGCGCAACCAATTCATTTTTATTCTGTTGTCTAAAATGTCTTTAATTCAGACTTGAGAGTATGACTTCTTGGAGGTTAATAACTCATGTTTAGTTACTTTGCTTTATAAAGTAAAAGACTGGTCTTTTAAAAAAATATATATATATTTTATTGATTTTTTACAGAGAGGAAGGAAGAAGGATAGAGTTAGAAACATCAATGAGAGAGAAACATTGATCAGCTGCCTCCTGCACACCTCCTACTGGGAATGTGCCCGCAACCAAGGTACATGCCCTTGATCGGAATCGAACTTGGGACCCTTCAGTCCGCAGGCTGATGCTCTATCCACCAAGCCAAACTGGCCAGGGCAAGCCAAACTGGTCTTTTCAATGTATCAGAAACTTCCTCCTAGTTTCTCCCCCTCCCATGCGAATTCACTTTAAGGAGTCTAATTTTAAGTTTTATTGTCATGTGAAAGCCACTTTGAGCCCTTGGTCATTTTATCTGTCCTTCTCTGGACCTTTTCTAGCTACATTGCCTTCCTTTGAGGGATGGTGGCAAGAAGTGAATGCAGTATTCCTGGTGCGGCTGATTTTGTACAAGTGTAAGATGATGCTTTCTTTTTGGTTTCCAGGGCTTTTTCGAAATCTTTTATGACCGCTTTACTTTTGGGAATGGCCGTGGCATCCTTGAATACTTTTGGGGTCACATAAGCTAAGACCTCACTTTTTCATGTTTTTTTAATCATTAGTTTTAGATAAGTGAACCCCAGAAAAGAGCACTATTTCTCCTCCCAGCTCATTTTTATGTGCAGAGAATTCGAAAGGAGCAGAGGGAGAAGAGAAATTTCTACATGAGCCATCTGCAAAAGCTGGCCCCCCCAGGCTGTAGCGCTGACCTTGTTCCTGGACAGTGTATGGTGGTGTGTTCTGGAAGAAGAGTTGAGGGCTGCCAGTTGAAAGACTCACGTCCCAGATGTAGCTGTATGATACACCCACTGTGAGCCCTAAGCGGTTAGTTAACATCTCCGTTTTTAGTTTTTCCATCTGTCAGATGCACTTCATAACATCTATTTTACACGCCCACCAGAATTGTTGTGAGGATAGACATGAAAAAGCTTTGGAAAGCTAAAGTAGTTACAGAAATGTACGTTGTTATGCCCTACATCTGTTTTAAGGTGCATTCATTGATAGAGGTCTCTGGGTTACTAAATTATTCTATCCAGGGTTCAAAACTTTGTTACTGTCTCTACATAACTCAGTTTGTTCCCGGACAGTGTATTCTAGTCTCTGGTTTTCCTGCCCTTTTTCAGATTCTCTGCTACCTGTATTTTAAAAAATATTTTTATTGATTTCAGAGAAGAAGGGAAAGGAAGAGAGAGAAATTAAAACATCAATGATGAGAATCGATTGGCTGCTTCCTGCATACACCCGTTTCTGGGGATCAGGCCCGCGAATTGGGGATGTGCCCTGATGGAATCTTGGTTCATAAGTCTACACTAACCTCTGAGCCTCACAGGCCGGTCTACCTGTATTTTTTTTTATAACTGGCTATCAGAAAGAACCTTGGAGTTGATTCTGAGTTACGTATTTGGATAGGAAGCATTGGTTTGAGCAGTGGGTTCTCAAGTTTGGCTGTCTATTGGAGTCAGTGCCTGGATCCCACCCCCAGAGATTCTGGTTTAATTGGAATTGGGTATGGCTTGGGCATTGGGGTTTTTCCTTGAAGCCCTCCAGGTAAATCTAATGTGCAGCAGTTTCAGAACCATTGTTAGACATAGTCCTAGTCAAAACTGTATAGCGTTGTGCTCCAGAAGGCCAAAGAGAAGTGGCAGACACCTCTTGGCTCAGTATGAACCTCTCGGGCCTTGCCCTCTTCCCAGGGACATCATACCCACCTCTCTGGCTACAGGGCAGCTTTCTGCCACTGAATTTCACTCTTTCCCTGAAGTCTAAATGTAACAGCATAAAGATGATAACCAGAGACTGGGTTCATCGGGGTAGGGTTAGCTGATGGAGAATTTAGAAGGATCCGCACCCCTTTCATTTGGAATATGAACTCCTAATACTAACACTTTTGAAGATTTCCCAGAAATTAAACTGAGGGCCAGAACAGTCTATTTGGAGAGCCGCTGGCTGAACCCCATTGGTCTATCTGCTCCTCCTCTTCCTTCTTCATGGTGAACTTGAACCAGGAGCCTCTCTAAATCAAATACCCACTCTGGTTTCTACTTGAAAGTGTTTAACTATTAAAAAAAATCTTTTTATTGACTTAGAGAGGAAGGGAGAGGGTGAGAGAGGCAGAAACATTAGTGACATTAACGGGAGAAACATCAACATCAATTGACTACCTTCTACACGTGTCCCCTATCGGGGGATCCAGCCTGAAACCCTGGCATGTGTCCCAACTGGGAATCGAACTGGCAACCTCCTAATGCATGGGTTGATGCTCAACCTCTGAGCCACTCTGGCCAGGCATGTTTACTATTTAGAGCACTTACCTCCTCCATTTCTCCAAGGTTTGCTACACAATTCAGAAAAAGAAATAGGAGTCACACCTTAAAATTTTCCCACCAGAGGCTATCCCTTTGGTGAGGTTGGGAGTGGTCTCCTTTGGTGTATTTATGCTTCCTGGCCATGAGCATGAGGTTTGGGGGATTGTAACTTACCCCTTCTCAAGGGAACTCCAGTTTATCCCTCCCTCAGCTTGGCATAGGGCCATGTCCAATTAATTAGCATTGTGTATAGCATCTGCTAATTATTTCTGGAAACCTTTGCCTAATGACTTCATTTTTCTTACTCTTTCACAATGAATGAGGTTTGGACCTTCCTTTAAAGTTTAAGCTACTTACTTGTTGATTTTTAAAATTCTTTATTATTGAAAGCATTGTCTCCTTTCCCCCATTGTAAATGTAAGCTCTTTAGAGCCTTTCTATCAGAGGGTGATCTTAACCTGTAGCTGCGTTAATTCAGCCACCTGTACTCTACCGGCTGAGACGCTTTGCTGGATGGTGTATGCCCATAGCAATCTCACATGGCATTTTGGTGTCTTTCCTAACTTTGGAGTTCTATCCTATTTCTATTGGGAGATGTTGAAGAAAATTTGGAGTTTTATTCACTTTTTGTATTAAATCTCATATACAGTTGAATGGCTCTATTTATTTAATGTTATGATACAAACACTTAGCAAGTCTTAGATTTCAGTTTTAACCTGTAGCCTCGTGTTACATGTATTTATGTTTTCCTAGTCTGTAGACTGCTTCTGAGGGCTTTAGTCGTTTTGCATTCCATATTCCTCATTGATCCCAATGTGTGTGTGTGTGTTCTTTTCTCACTTCAGCCTTGTTTCCTGAGAGACTGGGAGTTGCAGGTGCACTTCAAAATCCATGGACAAGGGAAGAAGAATCTACATGGGGATGGCTTGGCAATCTGGTACACAAAGGATCGGATGCAGCCAGGTATTGGGACCCTGGATTGCTCTTGTATAGGGTGTCACTGACATGCTTTTCCAAGTGTCCTCTTTTTGAGAAGGGTATGTCCCTACATATCAGCAGTTTCCCCTCTCCCTTGATATCTGTGGATGAAGACTGGCCCTGTCTAATCTCTAGAATGGGGTCTGTGTCCTCAGAAGGAGCTGAACTTGACTCCTCCTGGGCTGATTTCTTACGTATTAGTTCCTTCTTGTTTACCTGTGAACCCACCTGGCCCGTTGACAAGGTGAAAGCACTGGCTCTCTTGAACACTGATGACTGGGTGAGCAGATTCTTCTGAGCCTTCACAGTGACCCATTCAGCACTCCTGATTGGGAGAAGAATGTCTATTTCCCCCACGTTGTGTGGGAGCCATTACCCAAAGCAAATGGCAAACTCCACCTCATTGAACCTATCTCCTTTGCAATAAGAAGTCAAACTTGGGGATTTGGATCTCTCTTGGGGCATAGTCATCACCAAGTGTCTGTGAGGCAGAATTCTTTAGGGGCGCCTTAGCAGCCAGTCGGGATCAGGGCGCAGCTGAACAAGGTTGCGGTGGCTTCTCTCTCTCCCCTGCCTTCATAACAGCTACAGCTGTGTCCTGGGTGCTCGGTACAGGCCATGCACTTTCCTAGGTGCTTTTACATGTTTTCGTGTCTTAGTTGAGGCCTGAGAGTCATTTGAATTTTACCTTTTCCTCCATCATAGTGAATATTATTCCTTTATCTTGGCTTTATTTCATGTTCATCATCTGTTCTCTCTCTCTAGGGCCTGTGTTTGGAAACATGGACAAATTTGTGGGGCTGGGAGTATTTGTAGACACCTACCCCAATGAGGAGAAGCAGCAAGAGGTAATGGCAAGTGTCAGAGCTCAGGACAGCCGCATGGATGTTCCTGTCCTCTGCCTCAGGAATGCTGTGCAGGAGGGAGCAGAGGGGCTAGGACATGAGGGGTTCACTTCTACTTTCTTCATCTTTTGAACTTTAGCAGTCAATGTGTTTCTAGGGCTTTTTCTAGAGAGAAAAAGAGCTGTGGATGGGGCACAGTCCTGTGGGAATGGGTGCTGTCTCTTTAGCGTTAACAGTGTTCTGTTTTTGTCCACATTAGGTGGTTGCTGGAAGTGAGCATGCTTGGCTGGTTGGTGACCTGGCTACTAGGCCAGCACCAGAGCAAGCTGATGCATGTCACTCACCTGGTGACTTCATATGTCACTGCCATGACCTCCTGCAGTTTGTTCACCCTTTCCAGCATCTTTTTCTTCTTCCTTTTCTCAGGAAGCTTCTTGTTTTTTGTTAGCAGACCCTAAGATTTCTGTAGTATTTTCTTAGACTACCAGCAGTTTGGTGCTCACTGCCTGATGGCCCTACCATCAGGTGGTGGGAACATGGTTATGACAGGTTTTTGCTAGGCATCCTGTGGCTAAATAATATTTAGCAGGAAAGGAAGGATTAGGAATGGAAGTAGAATTCACTTTATTTTTACCCCAAAAGTTTATGAAATATTTCAAACTTATAAAAAATTGGAAGAACAGATCATTGTATATTTAACAACCAGATTCAACAATTTTTAACATTTCCCACAGAGTTCACCTAGAGGATGTGGAAAGTGAGACCTGAGTTAGAAGAATAACCTTTTGTTGTGAATCAATTCAGAGTTGTTTGTGGGCCCATCTTAACCCCACCATCATCACACCCTGGGAATCTTGATCAAGACCAACATGGTCCTGGCACTCAGTAGCACTGGTGTGTGAGGGTCCTGGTGGGGGAACATGGGATGTGAAAGTGAAGCTATAGCAACAGCGTCTAACCTGGGGCGGGGGACTTTGGTGGTGGAGGAGGTGGCAGTGGGGAAGACTTTTTCCAGGAAATGACATGTACTTTAAAGTCTGCAAAGTGAGGAACCGATGTTTCCTGCTGAGGGAAAAGCATGTGTTAAGGTGATGAAGTGAGAGAAGGGACAGTGAGTGTGAGGGCACAAAGGGGGGTCAGAGAGAGATGAGGCTAGAAAGAGAAACGGGGCCAGCAGCCTTGCCACGTTGCACAATTCCAGGGGCCACCATCATATTGGTTCTTTTGTGTGGACACTGTTTTCTCCTGGGCATGTTAACTGGACACTGGGATTGAGCACTGTCTCCTTGGGTGGTTGGTGGTTTGGTGTTTAGAGCAGCACCAGAGCACGTGTGTGTGGCTCATCCTCACGTGCACGCTGTGGGGCCAGCTTCTGAAGGCTGGTGTTCCCCTTAAGGAACGACTGTGTTCTAAGGCGGTAAGTGCATTAAAGGATTTTAATGAGGGGCATGGCGTGACTAGGTTTGCCGTTGTGCTCAGGAAATAGTGGTCGGTAGAAATGCATTTGAACAAGAGGTCTGGGCTGCAGGGCCTGACTAGAGTTTTAAACCTGCCTCTCTGTGAATTGTTCAAATTGTCTTAGCTTCCGTTTCACCATGAGGTACTATTAATTCTGATTTGAGAGGGGATACGTGGGTTTATTTTGTAAGGAGAGTAGCCATTAATCAGAAAAATTAACTGCAGATGGTAAAAAGCAGGACTTCTTTTCTGGCTAGCTGTTATGGTTCTCACTCCCAACTGCACATTGGAATTCCCTAGAGAGCATTTAGAATGCTGATGTCCAGGCCCAATCTCAGAGAGTCTCATGCCATTTGTCTTAGGTAAAGTTTAGCCAGCCTTACTTTTCAGAGCTCTCCAGGTGAGTTACATGTACAGCCAGGATTGAGGAGCCTTGGACCACCATCGAGTCCTTGTTTTCTTATTTATTTATTTAACAATTTTAAAATGAAAATAAAATTTAAAAAACGAATAAAAGCAAGTTTTTGTTTACTCATGCTTGCCATTTTACAGTTTTAATCTTCATCAAATCTCCTTGTAGTCAGTATTATTTTTCCCATTTTACCAATGAGAAGCTCAAAGAAGGTACCTAAGTGTCTTGCTCAAGATAACAGCCAACATAAGGTGGAGTCAGATTTTGAGCAGAGGTCCACCTGACTCCCGAGGCTGTGATTTTAGTTCTGCCGGCTGGATTTCCTTGAGAATGGAGAAACTCGTCCTCGTGAGCTGTGCAGTGTCAGTACGTAGATCTGCTCCCTGCAGAAAGTACAGGAAGTGCACTCCTACCTCCCAGCAACTAGAGGCTAAGATCAGATGTATTTTGTTAGCAGCATGATTTACTATATGATACGAATTGTAAAGGTGTCAGCCATTGTTCCATGCATTTTTATTTGTATTATTTGCTTATCAAAACAGTACTTTGGGGTGTATGTTATTTTTATCTCTACATTATAGGTAAGAAACTAAAGTTCTGAAAGGCTAAAAAACAACAACCTCAAAAACTTGTTAGTGACACACAAGTAATGGGTTTGTGTTTTTAAAAAAATACATTTTTTATTTCAGAGAGGAAGAGGGAGAGAAAGATAGAAACATCAATGATGAGAGAGAATTATTGATTAACTGCCTCCTAAATGCGCCATACTGGAGAGCAAGCCTGTAACCTGGACATGTGCCCTCACTGGAAATCAAACCTTGAACTCCTGGTTCATAAGTCAATGCTCAACCACTGAGCCACGCCAGCCGGGCCAGGTAGTGGGTTTGAAATCGGAGAGCACATCTCATTATTTTTTATTTTTTATTTTGAGCACATAAGAATAGAGTGACATATGGTGCCTTTTAAAAGCTTGCAAATGTCATGTGTAAAGATGTGCCGGAGGAGGCGGACAAAGAGGCTGCAAAAGGGGTTTTGAACAATTCATCAGATTCCTTCAGTTGCTGCAGTGAAAACGTTTCTCTGGTTTCTTGTTACCTTGTCACCAGAGTACACATGGCCTTGTTGCTCAGCTCACTTCCTACCACATTTGTCCACCAGGAAATACAGGGAAAATGCTAGCAACCATTCATGCATCTGAGAATTGGTTTAGGCTTGGCTATCTGCATCAGGACAGATTGTCCAAAGTAACATAATTTCCTCACCAGCGACATAGGGATTGCAGTTTAGTAAATAGGTCAAGAGAGTGCGTATTTGGAAGTGCAGGGTACTACCTGTGCCATATAAGGTTGTCAGATCATAAATCATTGTTAAAATAACAGCTGAAGAAATATAAAATCTGGATAGCTAAGTAAAGAGATTGACTTAGTAATTAACAGTAGCTCAGGCCTAGCCGGTTTGGCTCAGTGGATAGAGCGTCAGCCTATGGACTGAAGGGTCCTGGGTTTGATTCTAGTCAAGGGCACAGATTGTGGGCTTGATCCCCAGTAGGGAGTGTTCAGGAGGCAGCCGATCAATGATTTCCTCTCATCATTGATGTTTCTGTCTCTCCCTTTCCCTTCCTCTTTGAAATCTATAAAACACATTAAAAAAAAAAACAACTCACAAAGAAAAGCCCAGGACTAGATGGTTTTACTGATAAATTCTACCAGCTGAGATCGGTTTGGCTCAGTAGATAGAGCGTCGGCCTGCGAACTGAAAGGTCCCGGGTTCCATTCAGGTCAAGGGCATGTACCTTGGTTGCGGGCACATCCCCAGTAGGGGTTGTACAGGAGGCAGCTGATTGATGATTCTCTCTCATTGATATTTCTAACTCTCTATCCCTCTCTCTTCCTCTCTGTAAAAAATCAAAGTATATTTAAAAAAAAAATTCTACCAAACATGTAAAGTAGAATTAATATGGAATTCTTCTCAAACCCTTAAAAAATATAAAAGGAAGGGACACTATCAACTCATTCTTTGAGTTGGTATTACCCTGATATTAGCACTAGGTTAGGACATCATAAGAAAACTACAGACCAATATCTTTATGAATACAAATGTAAAAATTATCAATAAAATACTAGCAAGCCAGATCTATTAATATATGAAAGGGATTATACATCATGACTGACTGTATTTATCCTAGAAATTAATATTTGGTTTAATATCTAAAAATTAATATGATAGATCATATTAATAGAATAAAGGACAAAAAACATTTGCTCATAGCAATAGATGTAGAAATAGGTATTTGACATGATATAATACCTCTTTGTGATATAAAAGCACTCAGTAAATCAGGAATAGAATGGACTTCCTCACCCTGAGAGAGGGCATCTGTGAATGACTAATGTATTTAATTGTAAAAGACTGAAATCTCCTCCTCAGGTCAGGAACAAGACAAGGATTCTGCCTTTGCCATTTGTATTCAACACAATCCTGGATGTTCTAGTCAGGACAGTTAGGTAAGAAAATAAAAACATCAAGTTTGGAAAGGTAGAAGTAAAACTTTTGATTAGCAGATGACATTATCTTCTATATAGAAAATACTAAAGAATCCACAAACTATTAGAACTAATAAATGAATTCATCAAGGTTGTAAGACACAAGATCAACATACAAAAATCAGTGTATTTCTATATATTTGCATTGAACAATCAGAATATGAAAGTAAGAAATTTCATTTATACTATCATCAAAAAGGAATAAAATACTTAGGCATAATTTAACTAGAAACCAAAGGCTTAGAAGTAAATTTTTTTAATATATATATTTTATCGATTTTCCACAGAGAGGAAGGAGGGGAGAGAGAGCTAGAAATGTCGATGAGGGAGAAATATCGACCAGCTGCCTCCTGCACACCCCCTACAGGGGATGTGCTCGCAACCAATGTACCTGGGATCTTTCAGTCCGCAGATCTATGCTCTATCCACTGAGCCAAACTGGTTTCGGCTTAGAAATAAATTTAAGAAAACTTAGACTCTGAAAGCTATGCTATATTGTTGAAAAACTTTAAAGATTAAATAAATGGAAAGACATTCTGTGTCATGAATTGGAAAACTTAATATTGTTAAGATGGTGATATGCCCCACAT